GTTTGATCGCCCGTGCCTCTCTCACACACACACAGTTCGATCGCGCGATTCGCGCCCGCCCCGCGCCTCTCTCTCTCTCTCTCGCACGCGCGCGCGGCACACACACACACACAGTTCGATCGCGCGATTCGCGCCCGCGCCTCTCTCTCTCTCGCACGCGCGCGCACACACGTCACACACACACACACACACACTGTTAATCGCGCCTCTCTCTCTCTCTCTCTCTCTCTCTCTCTCTCTCTCTCTCTCTCTCTCTCTCTCTCTCTCTCTCTCTCTCTCTCTCTCTCTCTCTCTCTCGCGCACACACACACACACACACACACTCCAGCATTGCAATCTTGATCGCAGCCTGTTCATTGCTGCGTTCACAGTCACACCAAAAGCGAATTGAGCGAAATGTATCGCTATTTAAGAGGTTTTTTATTTTATTTGTACCGTGTATTCTCCCTGCAAATTCGTGCACCGAACCGTGACGCCCGTACCGTTTCGGTTCAATACGAATACATGTACCGTTCCACCCCTAATCCTAGGTGTATATGACTTTCTTCTTTCAGCCAAACACAATCGGAGTTATATTAAAAAAATATTCTGGCTCATAGCTTTATAATGGGAGTGAATAGTAACTGAGATTTTGAAGCCCAGAAAAGTGCATCCATCCATCATAAAAGTAATCCATATGGCTCCAGGGGGTTAATAAAGGCCTTCGATGCGTTTTTGTAACGTATGATGTAGAATAGCATAAGCTTAGGTGAGAGTAGACGCCTCTCGAAATTTAAACAAATAGGGCTGGGCAACAAACTCAAGTTTCTCCGACATTTCTCTTTAAAAATGATTTTTTCTAATTCGTGACCGGTGATTCATTTTGCTCTATTTTCAAGATGTCAGGTGTTGAGTCAGAGTTCACTCTTCCGCCGGAACTAGACTCGCGTACGGCCGTTACCAGAAGCCAGTGATTACAGTTTCTAAAGTTAGAAATATGGATATTTTTCCTACAAAAATCCTTCAGAAGGCCTTTATTAAACCCCTGGAGCCATATTGATTAATTTTATGATGGATGGATGCACTTTTTTGGGCTTCAAAATCTATTCTATTCCATTACTATTACTATTCACTCCCATTATAAACCTTGTAAGAGTGCCAGGATATTTTTTTAATATAACTCCGATTGTGTTTGGGTGAAAGAAGAAAGTCATATACACCTAGGATGGCTTGAGGGTGAGTAAATTTTAATTTTTGGGTGAACTAACCCTTTAAATAAGTTTTGATTCAGACTGCCAAAAAAAGGTCAGCAAAATAAATATATGATAAATAGATTGCTTAGACAAATTAATCACATGTATCAAAATTAGCTGAGAAGCCCCCCTAAATGAAGATAGGTCAAAGACTTATTGTGGATGACAAGTATTGGTAAGGCATTCCAAAAAGGGCTATTAGAAGTCAACGTGTTGCTTTATCTCCTCATCATTGAAAATAAGCATATTCCTAGATCCAGTCCAGTCCACAGGAATTCATTTTGCAATTGAGTTTGTCAATCTGTATTCAGATTCTGGTCTTGCTCTTTTCTTTTCACATCTTGCATCATAAGCATCACATTTTAAGCCAACCTGTTTAACCTTTAATGTGTTTTTATTTTTTTATAAAAGGGATAGCCTAGTTCACCCAAAAATTCTGTCATTATTTACTATAGCTACTTACCCTCATGTCTGTTATTCCAAACCTTACAAAGACGTTCTTTCTTCCGTGGAACATAAAATAAGGTATTTTACATGAAATTTCTCATTGTTTTGTGTCCACACAATGGAAGTCCAAAACTATTTTATACATACAGGTTTGGAACAACATGAAGGTGAGTAAATGATGACAGAAATTCTAATTGACAGCTCTAGTTATGATGTTAAGGGATTCACAGCCTGTACTTCTAGGAGGTTTCCTGTAATTTCTTCTTTTTTTTAGCCTAGGATTAGTTATAGATTTTCTGAACCAGTTTATACTAGTAAATAAAAATGTTTTCGTTTTAGACTGGAATTCGATGCCTATAGGACAGACCTGGAGGAGTTGAGCGTGGGTCCGCGGGACGCTGCAGCCATGATGCGCATTGAGATGGCTCAACAGCAGTACCAGATCCAGAAAGACAAATATGAACGACTGCGCAGTGATGTCACCATCAAACTCAAGTTCTTGGATGAGAATAAGGTACCATGTTGAAATCCCTGGTGTTCACATGTTGTGTTTCACACGTCAGAGTTATTCCTCGCTTTTGTCATAGTTTCTTCAGATTTCTGTATGTTGATTTCCAGGTAAAGGTGATGCACAAACAGCTCCTACTGTTTCATAATGCTATCTCGGCATATTTCGCTGGAAATCAGCAGCAGCTGGAACAGACTCTCAGACAGTTCAACGTGAAGTTGAAGCCACCGGGTTCTGACAAGCCGTCGTGGCTTGAGGAACAGTAATCACTTTGTCAATGTAAAGAGACACTCAAACATGGAAACCTGAAAATAGATGGATGGGGATGTAAAGAGATGCATTATATGTGATTGATTTGTATGAATGAATAAGACAAGAGAAGTGGATGTTTTTATTTTGCCAAACCCTGGAAAATGTTCTGTTTTATTTAAAGCCAGAAAAATCTTCCAATGAATATTAATTTGACTAACTGTGGTTATGCTTTACAGCTGCCTTAACTTACTTTTAGGTATAGCGTATGGGCTGTTTAAAGTAACATTACATGGAACAAATCATTCACTCTCTGTAAAAACATCCACATTTGATGAGGCATTCATAGTCATATTCACAAAACTGTCATACTCCCCTCCCAGGCCAGTTTATATATTTTATTTTATCTTGATGGAATAGAGCTGAAAGGAATGAATGTTGTGCTTGTGCATTTGTTTTTAATGTAAGGTAATTTGGGGGAGGATTATGTCAAGGTATAAGAAAGGAAAATTGCTCACGGTATGGGTCATAAGAAGGTTAATATATTTATATTTATGTAAATTGTGAGGTCCCACATATGAAATTAAAACACATTTGAAGGTGATAGAATCTTATGAGTATGTATTGTGATGTTTATCGTGTCTTGCATGTGCTTTTTTCTGCCACAAGCAGCAAGTTTCTGAGCAATGTCTTCAAACTCTACCGGGCTGGCAGCAAATGCCACTGGTAGAGTCTGCTGCCAGCCAGGAAAGACTTAACCGCTTTTCCTTGATCGGATTGTTATTCCCTTGGCTCTTTACTCAAATAAGAGAAATACTCAAATTTTTTACTCAAATACTCTTTACTCTTGGTTTTGGTTTCACTGTAGTAATCAAATTGGATCAGGCATTTTTTTCTTGGAAGAAATGGTGTGCTTTTGTATTAGTATGGGTTTGCTTTAACAATAATTTGTTACGTTTGCAAGTAGATTTTATCTGTGTTACACAATTTTAATATTGATTCAGCAACCATGCCTGGTATTTTATCTTCTTAAAATGCTCATAACCCATTTTTTGAGGGTCTGTTTCGACAGAGGTCTTTTCTAATAGACTAATATTGATTAGACTGTTAAAAATCAATCCAGTCCTATATACTGTACATTTCCCCCAAAAATGTGCGTAGTAACATTTACATTAACTGATTTTAAATTGGTTTTAATCAAGTCAAAAATATTTAATATGACTGAATTGCTCAGGTTGTCTTCTGAAATGATATAAAAATTACTCGTCACCCCAGTTAAAGCGTTTGTTTTCGTTGTTCGTTAAATTAACACCCATTTTTGTACCGTAATTTACAACACAATTTCTGCACTGTAAAAAGTGACCAGTTGACTACTTAAAAAAGTGAGGAAATCCGTTGCCTTCCCAGCTGGCATTCGACTGACATTAAACGTTTAAATGTGGTTGAAATAATGCCAGTTTATGAAAAAACATTACCGGTAATTCAACGTTAAAACAACGCTGAACACCAAATAGTTGAAGTTGTGTTGTTGACTCACTACGGATTCAACATAGAAATATCAAAAAATTTTGAGTTGTAGGCCTACGTCAAATCAACATTATTTTTACAACCATGACTTTTAAACATTTTGTTGAAATATATCAGTAGAAAAATAACGTTGTTCCAAAATCCAATTTGCAATCTGATTTGCAAAATCTAAACAAAATTCAACGGTTATCCAACACTGGCACCTGTTGATTCAACAGTGATTGCCAGCTGGGTTAATATTATTAAGTAAATAAACTTTAAATAAAATTAACTAAAAATATTAAGTTATGTGGAATTGTCAAGTTCACATAACCTAATTTTTCAATTACGCATGAAGTTTATTTACTTAATAATGTTAAGGCAACAGATTTCCTCACTTTTTTTAAGTCAACTGATCGCGTTTTTCAGTGTGTGGAAATCATTCATATTTAATGAGGTAAACAGTGAGTCCTTTTATGATTGGTTGTCTGTTGTTAAAAAACTTAAAATTCAAGCACCTGATTGTTTTACACTCACTTTCTGTAAAAACATTTACATTATGAGTCATTCATTATAGTCATATTCACAAAATTGTTCCTTGTCCAGTGAGCACCTCCCCCAGGCCAGTTTATATATTTTGTTTTATCTTGATAGAAATGAGCTCATGAAAGGAATGAATGTTGTGCTTGAGCGTTTGTTTTTAACGTAATGTCGTTGCTTCTTGGCGCCGTAATTCGGGTTAATCCATTATATTTTACCCATGATCCATGGTGAAAAGCGGTACTAAACCCTTTTAAAAATGATCAGTGTAAAACGGCCTTTATTCTGAGTTTAGGAAAACGCGGGAAAGCTAAAACAAATTAAACAAATGGAAGCTTTCGAATTCTAACGGTAGTTGCTGTTATTGTCTGTTAATGTAGGCGAATCAGTACCCATTCATGCGGTACTTTTATGAAATTTGAACAATCATGACACATGGATTACGTCTGAAACAAGCGCTGACGAGTTCTGGGCGTGAGCTACAGGTAAGAGCAGATTGCAACATCACACTTCCTCAGAGCGGGTACAGTAGCCAACAGTCCCGTGGGACAGTAGCATAGCCTACTATGGAGCATGCTTTTCTTTTCTGGAATATATAGCCAAAGTAAGTTCGGATATTGTCAGACAGTAATTTCTGTTGGTAGACGTCTGGCTACCTCTCAAACGAGTAAGTAAAAGATTTTATAGGCCTATACGTTGTTACCATGAGAAAACCTAGACATCAAAAATACCATGGACATCCAAGTCGGTTTCCCCACCACGGACAGTTATTGTAATACTCTACAATACCATTTAAGTACTATGATAAAACTGAGAGAAGAACATGCGAATAATGACATTATAAGGTACAAAACAATTGTACAGTTTTTTTAAGATTTAAAAGTTTCTCAAGAAATTATGGTAGGCTTTATGGTAAACTAACCCTTACAAAAACAAAAACAAAAAAACTTGTTGTAGTACCATACAAATATGTAAATGTAATTTTGTTTACATCCGTGTACCATGGTACTTCTGTGTAGCTTAAATGTCTAGCAAATTTTGAGTTTGACATAAACGTCATGTAGAGGTCATGTAAACTTTTGTAAACCTATTAGATATTTTTCACTGTCCTGGTTTTGTTAGTTATGTAGGCTACTCACCAGTGCTTATCGCCTACAGTTTCTCGGTTAACTTCCCTATTACACAAATCCTTCCTTTTTCAGTTAAATGACAGCAGATATTAGACATACAAACATATGGTTTCCTTTTCTGTCCTTTCTTTAAAGGGATGATGCAGCAGTATCTTTGCAAGTGACATCCAAACCATGATACCACCACCGCCGCCGCCGCCACCACCTCCTCCTCCTCCTCCTCCGCCACCCCCTGCCCTCTTCCCTAGTGGAGGCCCGTTTTCCAGAGGGCCGGCACGGGCCTCTATAATGCGTAATTTTAATTGGGAGGCCATACCAAAGGACACTGTGCTAGGCAAACATAACATATGGACGGCCGAGAAGAGCAGGGATTTCGAGTTGGACACCAAAGGTATGGAGGAGCTGTTCAGCCGCAATGACCAGAAGAAGGTCCAGGCCACAACCCGCAGCAGTGTACGCCAATCCCCAAGCAAGGCCCCAGGACCTGAAATGGTGAGTTTAGGTGGGATGTGCTAGAAAGGATGTTTTGTGTCTGCAGGCTTACAGTAAATGGGTGTTTCCAGACTCATCTACTCAGAGAGATTTACATATGCTTTCATCAAGCTTGTTAATAGGGTAGACTTTGTGACTGTCTCAGGTCTGGCAAAACACTGTAAAGATGACTTAGTTAGTTGTAATCTCACTAAATTTGATATAATCTGTTGGTTTTGGGATCTATGAGTGTTTCTATAGTAATGATTACAGAGCTGAAGGTGATTCAAGCATCTCATGTTCTCATGCCGAATGCATGAGGTATCCTAATTGCTAGTTTTGCATAAACCGTTTCTTCGTGGTCAGTTATCTTCCATGTAGTGCACTATCATAGTATTTCGATCTATTTCTCTATAAAAGTGGTAACCTGCAGTTTTTACAGTATGGAGCTACTTTTAACCCTAACCTAACCCTTTTATTTATTTATGTGGAAAACAGCTCATGAATCAGACAGAATGCTGTTTTTTGAAAATGTAATGCAGAAAGTTTTCTCTGAGGGTTGTGTGTAGGGGTAGGTTTAGGTTTAGGGGATACAATGTACAGTTTGTACTATATAAAAATCATTGTCTATGGAAAGTTCTCTTAAAACATGGAAACCCAACATACGTACGTGTGTGTAAAAGAAAGTTATTTATTGTTATTTTTATATTACTAAATTAACCAGTTTTATGGCTAATGTGGACCAATTTACAATTTTTGTCATTATCCTTTCACTCTTTGGTAATTTAAGTTAATTTCATAATACATTCTAGGTTATGTTATGACATTTAGTCAGAAAACATGTTTAAAAACTGGCTTGACTTCTGCAGTCACATGATACAGAACTAATCGCTAACTAATACTAATGTCAGATAGATAAGTGGAAAAGAAAAATTTACTAAAAGGAAATTCAAATGACAGTATGATGTTTAAATGACTGCTGTTTTTTTTGCAAAATTATTATTATTTTTTTTTTTACATTTTTCATTGTTGTAATCTTGATTTGTCATGCTGTGGCCCACAGTCAAAAACAAAAAAACATCCTAGCACTGTAACTAGATTTGAAGAATCTTTCTCTTTCAAATAATGCTTACAGTCATTCATAAGACAATACTGTGGCATTTATGGACGCCACTTGACTATGTTTGTCGTTTGATCTGAACCCTTTTCAAAGGTGGATGGATTTCGTCTTTTCTGTAAGTGTTTACATAAGGCGGACTCCACCAATATTGAATAGCTAACATTTCAAAAACACTGTGATGCAGAACATCTAATTTTACAACTGCTGAATCACATCATCGCAATGTTCCGTTGATTATTTTTTAATGCAAGAAATGAATAGGCAGGGTTGTTGAGGTTCACAAATCATCATTCGTTTTTCATAGTTCAAAACTGATTAAACACATCAGGGTGGAGTAACTACCTGATACAATCTGTTTACATTTATGTTTGTTAATGGTGTAATATACATAATAAGCAATCAGTCTAACAACTGCCTTTGTCAAGCCATGTCCATATAATTGGCTTTTTTCCCTTGCCAGGTGTCCATTCTCAACTCCAAGAAGAACATGAACATTGGTATCTTCCTCAAGCAGTTCAGAAGGTGAGTGTACCACAAGGGAGTATTAAGAAAAGCTCTCTATTTCATCAGCAGATCTTAGGGTGGAAACGCTTAGGATACATTGCTCACATGTCTCTGCAAGCCAAATGAATTTTCCCTGACAACATCAGTCCAGGCATATCTTTTCTACTGGAGTACAAACATGGAGATAAGATGAGCTTTGCAGCATTTCCCTTAATCATGCAGTATTTCTCCTCAGATATTGGTTAGTTGATTGTGTCAGTTTAACTTTGACATGTTAATGAACACATCAGTTCTATAGTGCTACAGCTAGAGCTTGCGAGACCAGTTTGGTTTGCTTGGTTATCTCAAAAAAAGAGAAGCAAGATGGGGCTTGTCTATCCTAGGTATTTTTTATGCTTGGCCAAGAAGAGGAGATTAAGAGTGTATAGCAACCAGAACAAGGTGAAGTATGACTCACAGTGTGGAAGTACATGTGTTGGACACTTCCTCTATACCGTTCTTACAGATGGGCCGCTCGATGTGTCATTTGTTTTGGACAATTTCAAATTGAGTTTTACAATGTAATCAGTCTATTTAAAGCTGACGTGTGTCTGTGCTAGCAGTGAAAGTGTTAATTGTTTTCAAACTAGTTTCTCGAACATTCCCCCAGCTGCCATTGGTTGGACAAACAGCTAGTCCCACGACCAAAATCACGCAATTGGTTGAGTCATTGTTGCTGTGTTCGGCTGCTCAAACAAACAGAGCAATGTTGACACGCCACAGAAAATGAACCTTCAAATATCTTATAGTTGTCACGGCACATTAAACTGCCATAGGAGACGGTAAGGGATAGTTCACCCAAAAAATTGAATTCTGTCCTAATTTACTCACCCTCATGTTGTTGCAAACCTGTATGTTCAAACAGTTTTGGTTCCCATTGACATCCATTATATTTTTTTTGACCATACAATGGAAGTCAATGAGAACCGAACTGTTTGGTTCTAACATTTTTAAAATCTCTTGTTTTGTGTGAAGAAAGGAAATCATACAGGGTTGAAACAACACGAGGGTGAGTAAATGCCCCCAAAATAAAATAAAATCAAAAGCTGATGCATATAAAACTGTTTATTTTATTATGTTTATTTTTATATATATATATATATATTTTTTTTTTTTTTTGCTTTTACCTTCTTAAGTTCATAAGGAAGCCTGGGGATTACTATATCATATTGGTAGAGCCCCACTTCCAGTGAATCTTTGGGAAATCTGAAATTGTGTAACTCTTCAAATAGTCTGTGGCCCTGATCTATAATTTTACCACATCTTGCTCTAACTTTCTCCACAGGCCAGTAAGTGAAATGATTGACGACATTATCAGCGGCAGAGGAGAAAGATTTGGTACTGGGAAACTGAAGGAGTTGTGCAAACTACTGCCAGAGGATGGAGAGGTGGGTGTAAAATTTGATTAGAGTCTGAGTTACACTCATTGAGCAATTCCAATGCATTTTAATAAAAGTTTTCGTACTTTAGACCAGAATAAGAATATTTTATGCAGCATTTTCATTTGAATCGCAAACCTAAAAGCTTGTTGCTATGCATTATGTTTCTTCTTTCATAAGGTGCGTCAGCTTCTTGATTTTAAAGGAGACTATTCAACTTTATCTGAACCAGATCGGTTCATGGTACAACTTGTCAAAGTTCCTTGGTGGGTATATACAGCCACACAAAGACAAATACACACTTAACACGATTGTACACGGAGCTCTTTCGATACAGTAATTTTTGGATATGCCATCATGATTATTTTAATTTGTTTGTTCTTCCTCTAGCTATGAGGAACGGTTGAACGGTTTAGTACTCAAAGAGGAATTCTCCCATTTTGTGGATGAGGTGAATCACTCTATTGCAGTCATGACCTCTGCTGGACAAGGTAAGATTGTAGATTACAACAAATTACTACCTATATATTTATATTATAAAAGCTAGTCATGGTTATTAATTATTATTCCTTTTTAAATTAAAAATTTAAATAATTTAAATCAACTTTAAAAATACTCTCATACTATAATGATCCTTATAGGTCCTTAAAGCATGACTAACTTTATGGGTTTGATTCCCAGGAAACTTGGCTTGCTTTGTTTATTAGTGCAATTACAAGGATGTGACTAGGTTTGATTTGTTTTATTTCACCTAACCCATGTATGAAATTATTTCCAGAGCTGTTGGAATGTGCGGATCTACATTCAGTCATTCGACTAGTCTTGGAAACAGGGAACTACATGAACTCTGTGAGTATAATCATACCACTGTATTTTGCTACGATTGTTGAAAATGATTCAAGTCGGTCAACTCAAAACAGCACTGCACATTTGTGTGTTTACACTGTCATGAGATCCTAATCGTTCTGTTCCCACTTCCACCAGGGAGGGTACGCCGGCAGCGCGGTGGGATTCCGGATAACGTCTCTTCTCAAACTAGCGGATACCAAAGCCAACAAGCCTGGAATGAACCTCATGCACTATGTTGTGATGGTAGCAATGATGTTTAATATTATACTGTGGTGCCAGAGCCACATAAGACACACAGCTTTATTTCCATGTTAATTCTTTTCTCATGTGTCTGTTACCACAGCAAGCCCAGAAGATAGATGCATCGCTGCTGAAGTTCCCAGAGAAACTACAGAATATTGGAGATGCAGCAAGGTAGGCCACTCATCGCTGTTTGAAAAATTGCTATAATTATTTTATTTTATCTGATTATTTTAATAGTAGCTCAATATAAAAATGCACACACTACAAAAATCTGTTAAAAAAACTTCAACAATAAAAGCAGAATTTTAACCAGTGATATTTTAGTACTTATTAATCATTTGAATTGGCTTTTTTCTATTTTCAGTTTTAATTTTAATTTTAGTTTGTTTTAGGTTTTTTTTGTGTCTTTCTCATTTTTATGTTTATTTTAAATATTTCTGTTTAGCTTTAATTTGTTTTTATTTTATTTTATTTTATTTTATTTTATTTTAGTACTTTAACTAACTACAGTAAGTTGCCAAAGCAACATTTCTAATTAGTTTTTCATTTAATATTTATTTCAATTAAGAAAAACACTTTTTAATACTTTTAGTTTTAGTTAACAATACCGATTTTAACAATAAAATGTGTTATATGTGATTCTCTGTACTGTTATGGTTTTTCAGTACTCTGTAATTTCCTCTAAAATATTGTGAGTCTTGTATCTTAATTTATTGAGGTTAGAATCTCAAGCTTGCTTTAGCAAAGTCTTTCAATAGATCTGTAACGGTTCAATTATTGTGCTCAGTACTAATTTGCACTGAAAATGCAAAAAAAGAGTGAAATATATTGTCTGTCTTCCTCAATACAGGATTCATAAACAGGAAATTGAGTCTGATTTCCAAAAGGAAGTGAGTAAAGTCCAGGTGTCGAAGCAGAATGCTGGTAAACATCCAGATCTGGAAGAACAGATGAGGGATTTTCTGCTGGTGAGGCATTTTATATTTCTCACAATTCCTTAGTTAGAACCTATTTAGTTTATCTCTGAATGTGAGCATGCAATTTTTTTTGTTCAAAGTCTTTTGGTGTGGTAACATGCTATTGAGCCTATTGACTACTGAAGTGCTGACATGCACATAAACATTAGTGCATTTCCCTGATTGCATGAAATGTGTTAAATAAGAAGTATCACATCAGAACAGCAGCTTCTTCCATTTGTCTTTTCTTCTTTTTTAGAATGCAGAAACCAGGTTAAATGAGACCGAGACAGCCTTCAAAACCCTTTCAGCTGTGAGTGATTCGGTAGCAGAGTATTTCTGTGAGGACCCCACTCAGTTCAAACTAGAGGATTGTTGCTCCATTTTCTACTCTTTCTGTGAGAAGTTCAAACGAGCAGTTCAGGTAATTCTAACCATACATTTGAGGTGCTCTAGTCTAAGAGGCAATCTTAGCCCGGGGTTGTTTTACACCTAAAGAAATCAATAGGACTTCTGCAAAACATGTTTGAAATGATGCACAGTGGGGTCCAAAAGTCTGAGACCACGTTGAAAGTGACAGTTAAGATTTCTGTCTGTAATGAATGCTGTTCTTTTGAACTTTATTTTTTTTTTATCAAATAATCTTTAAAATAAATTATCACAGTTCCCACAAAATATTAAGCAGCACAACTGCTTTCAACATTGATTATAGTAATGATAATAAAAGTTTCTTGAGCATCAAATCAGAATGATTTCTGAAGGATCATGTGACACTGAAGACTGGAGTAACGATGCTGAAAATTCAGCTTTGCATCACAGAAATAACAGACATTTTAAAAGTTAAATTGTAATAATATTTTATAGTTTTACTGTTTGTGCTGTCCTTTTCGATTAAATAAATGCAGCCTCTGTGAGCATAAGAGACTTCTTTCAAAAACATTGAAAAGTCTTACAGATCCAAAACTCTTGAATGGTAGTGTTTTTACCTGTTATGCTGCATCCACAGCAATGTGTGCAAGTATAAGAATCAGGGTCACTGTCATTTTGGCAAACGAATAATAAAATAAAAATAACATTTGAGCATATCTGTAAATGTAACCTCTTCAAATGAGATAATAATAGACATAGTATATATGAATATAAATAAATAAATATTGTTAACCTATTTAATTACTGTTAACCAACTTTATTATTTTTTGTTTAGATGATTTTTTAAAAAAAAAATATTTAAATATTGTCAATTAAATTAAATTGTCACAGACATCTGTAAAAATATTGTTTATCCTCCATGACCAGATAAAATAAAGAAAGCTTCATGAATCACATAAATCACTTCTCTATCATCTTTCTGCCATAGGAGAACCTTGAGCGAGACATGGTGGATGTGAGGCGCAGGCTGCGAGAGCGCACTCAGATTGCTGCTAAGCGACGCTCCACCGCCACCTGCTCATCACGAGACAAAGACATCGAAGGAGATGCTCTGGAGTCCATCCTACAGAGGTTCAACAGTCGGCAATCCCGCCGTAGAGCTGGGACCGGTTCACCCACGCTGGGGAATCTGCCTGAGACCCCCTTGAAGAACAACCACCCCGTTGACAACAAAGAGGTTAAGAGGGACAGCTGGATCAAAAGTGTCATGCAATCCTCCTTGATCAAGGAGAGCTTTGATAAGGAAGAGACGTCCAATCACCCAGAGGTTATAATCTCAAGCCCGGTGCAGGAAAGTGCCGGTACCAATTCCTCTCCAGATCAGCGAGTCTCCGTATCGACGGAGAAGGAGGAGGAAGATGCCCAGACCGAGAAAGAAGTGCAGAATATGAGAGAGGTGTCACGGAAAGTTTTACAATACCAGTCCAGTCGAAGTAGTATTTCATCCGCCGAGGCCCTGTCGCCGATCCTGTCTCCCAGGCAGACGTTCTTCCAGGAGGACAGAAGACCGCTGCTGATCATGGCCATAGAAGAAAACGCTTCTAAATCCAGCCCTCTGCTGCAGAACAGCCAGATCATCAATCGCCGGCACACAATCGCACTTCCTGAGGCCAAATGTGAAAGTACCAGCCAAGAGGACCTTTTTGTGCCCTGTAAAGTAGATGCATCTCCGGCTCCCTCTATAGGTGTTATTGGAAAAGGGAAATCTGTGGATTGTAATATGCTCACCGCACAACGAAACTCTTTAAAGATTGATAAAGATTCAGAGGCAAAGCCTCTTAATTCTCTAGAAGAATCACAATCAGTTAACTTATCACAGTCACAATCAGCCGAGCCAGAAGCAAAGACTGAAGAGACGGTGCCTAGCTTGCAATTTGGTACTGGCAAAAGAAACAGCCAAACAACATCATTTAAAGGCGCTAAAGAGGGCTTCAGCTTTATGTCTTTATTTAAGCGCTGGCGTGAAAAAGACAAATCAAAAGAGCTTGATTCTGACAGTTGATTCTGACCCGTGATATAAAAAAAAAACCTTGCTGTCTATTTATTCAGACTTTCATGCTGAGTGTCATCCTGCATTTATGGAAAACAAGCTTGGTGCTTTGTCAATGTTTGCTTGTTAAAACAGCGAATGGACTTTTATTTCCACGCCTTCTATAAATAACGCACATGCAATGGCATCCAAAAAACACAATGAATTTAAATATAGCGTTGAGATCAGTGGAAAATAAGATATTTTATCTGCAGTGCTCTTTATGTAACACAAGGGGGCAGTACATATGGCATTACATTTCCATGGCGAGACGGATTCTGTATCTGCAAAAATGAACCATGCACAATTATGCATGACTCTGACTATGAGTAATTATTCACTTAGTTTATATACTGACCAATCAAAATACAAGTAAGTTGGTAAATGTGGTTGTAATGCACCACATAAAATCACAAATTCTTGTCTGATGAATAATTTAATGTTTAATCATTATTATTTTTAATTATTATATTTACCTGACACCTTAGCTCGTACTAAATCATGTTTCTGAAAGTGGTCTCTGTATGGTCATTGTAGGCTTCCTATGACAGACCAGTATACGGATCAAAGCACTCGCCTACGTGATGAAAATGGGGAATCGAGAAGAGAGTTCGTGTAATTTGTGGTTTTCAGAGCTCCAGAAATGAAAGAATAAAACCTCTGCTTTTGATTCTCAATATGAGATTGCAAGAACATTTAGAGACCATGTTCCAGTTAGGAGTTGCTCACACACTAAGATGCTTGCGTGCATTTTTATATGATGCTGTTTGTCCTGTTTTCAGGCAAGATATATTTATCATTTTTTATGTTACGTATTACGCTTGACCTCAACAACATCTCCTGTGCTACTTGATGCAGTCATACATGGTATTTCATGTTTTTTGTCGACTGAGCTTCTGGAGTAAAGATGAACAAGTAAAGATAAAGGGGCTTATTCTTGATAAAGACATTGAAGGCTTAGTTAGGGAGAATAGATAACGTCATGGGCTCCCGATAGGTCCTCTTTATTGCTTTCTAGATAGCCTGAGACCCTGTCGGGTGGAGATTTGGGGGAGGGGGGAGTTTGGGTGATTGTGTGAGTGAATCATCCTCATTAGTCTCACAGAACTGAGAATAAAGGGTCAAGTACTGATTGAATGTCACAACATGCTATATGGTTATAGTCCAGTTCATCCTGAAAATGGCTTATTAGATTGTGTTGGACCGGTTTTGTGGCTAATAAGTGTGATTTCATGCTGTTACAGTGCATGTCTAAATGCTGAATGCTGTTTATTTCAGACACTTACCATGAATTGTTTAGAGATGCATTTCATTTCTTTGAATATATTATAATTAACAGTTTATAAATGTAATAACAGAAATGATAGGTCTATTTCAGCATAAAAAACAAAAACAAATGTATTAAATTATTATTATATGAAACAGAATTATAATTAATCATTATTTAATATATTGGTTGGAAGTACAATATAAAATCAACAATGCACATTTTCGTCACACTTTAAATTATATTAAAATGTATTTTTTTTTTTTGCAGAGCACACAATATGATGCACATGGCAGGCAAATGTGTAATAATGTTCAGTCTATGTCTTAATGTTGCGTTTGCTGACGTGGCTCGGGAGACAGTCTGCTTCTGCCATCTGGCTGTCTTAGGCTGGATGCAGTCTCCATAGCAACAACCACCACCTTCATAATGAAAGCCCAAGAACACGGTCTTACCACCACCCCCACCCCACTGTAAACAAAGCCCAACCCTTGCACTGTGTAGCCCCGTATCCCCACCCCAAACTGACGTACTTTCACTCGTATCACCTAAGGTCATGGATTGACTGAACTATTGAGCCTTTTAATACTCTTCTGCAGAACTGGGTTTAAGGAAAAAAAAGAGCACCAGATGTTTTCCCTTTTAAAGATGTCTTCTAAGCCGGGTGTGTGTACCAAGATGTTTTCTCCCCTTTGGAGTTAATTATTGTTGTAATATGACTGCCATTCATTATTGTAGGCTATATATATATATACGTATTTAAGCAGGGGGGAAATGCATTGTTAGCTTGATAAAAGTGAAGCAGTTACAGGACTGAAAAATGATCTTTGTCATTTGTGGGTAAACGAATATAATGCTAAAAGTCTCTTTTTGGATTTTGGACACCCTTTAGTAGATTAGACACTCAAATTTGATTTTATTCGTTTTTTATTTGTTTGTTTTTTAATGATAACACAAACAGACACTTGTCGACACATACGGGCATGGGCGTGATTCAAATCAGTTAACGAACCTGTTACCTAAACAAATCTTTTCAGTCAACATATTCAAAAGATTCGAGTCACTGGGTTGAACCAAAAGCCCCACCACCAGTGAATCACTCCTTTTCATATGTATGCATTTTAAATAATTACATATTCCAAAATACTAACTCTTATTGGCTATCATAGCTCCTCCCATTCTAATGCTGGCCAATGAGCGAACATCTTTTGCATTCGCACACGCCCACAATCTCAGTTCACTGTCCCCTCCTTACCGACTCCCATTCGGAGAAAAGGACTGCAGTTTTTGATAAAAATCGTTAAAAACGGATTATTTATCGGACATTGACAATGAAAAACGCTTTCTCCTGTTTTTCATGCTGACTCCTCTCTAAATCCGGTCCAAATTTCACGTGAGTGTACTAGTTTTTTTTACCGTCGCCTCTTCCCAAATTAGACTCATTTTGTCACTGCGGTGAATGCGTTGATACATGCTGAATAATTCATTGATTATGTACTGGAGTGGAGACACGCATCTCTTTGGCGTGACTGCTGAAATCAGCCCGTTCTTTGTAAATGTTAAGTGTTTCAACGTCCACCATCTCCGAGGATTGTGAGGAAGTCTTAAAATATCTGCAGGATGTAGATTACCCTTTATGTCATGGGGCTGTGCTTTAGGTCAACGAGTTGTACAGTAATTGGTTGTTTTCATATTCCATTGTTTTGTGCATGTAGAATGAATGTCATCCCATCACATATTATTAGCACCTTTTATAGCTATTAGTGTCTTTAGGCTGTGATCACTCCTGTAGGCATCTTCTCTCTCAAGAAAGTAGCCTAACGTTACATCTTTCGTAAAGTTTATAAAGGCCTTCTGATGAATCATCCAAATTAGGTGCTGTATATGACTTGCGTGATGCATAATAAATCACACTGCATGTCTTTAGTAGAGATTGACAATATAGTTTTTTTCTATGACTAATTCAGATTATTTGGAATGTTTTAAGTGCCCCATAACAATTGTAAATCTGAAACTTGTTTTTAATTATTATTATTGTTATTATAATTATTATTCTTACACAATGGGAACTAAATAATCACTGGACAACAATAAAAACACATGATGCATTTTGCTTATTTTATTCGTAGTCATAATAATAATAATATTGTTGACACAAGTGCATTAGGACAAAGTTGAATGTTTCCGCAAGGGAAATTGTAACATAATTTTTCCATTTGGTGTAGCCTAACCTATTTCTAGTCTTTAGTACAGTTTACTGATAAATCAGGTGAAGTCTTACTGTACATGTAAATGGCCCTCGTCTCTGCAGCATTTGTGTTCCCTCAACAGTCTGTCTTAATGGCTTAAGTTTTGTGTATTGTTTTTTTTTTTGCAATTTCCTCCATCATACACAATTGCTCATGACATGAATTTCACTAGAGAAGTGGGCAATATTTAAGCCCTTTTAGTGTTCCATTCCATGCATCAGTTAATTTACTATATTTGCAGTTTATTAATATGAGTTAAAGACGTTAATATATTTCGTTTGGTCTGAAAGAAGTTCAAGACATAAGTGGGTTTGTTTTAAAATGGACAGGTTTGTTGGTGACAAAGGCGGTATAATAATGCTGCACAGGTTGCCATGTTCTGTTAATGCATGCAGCAATTAAAATGATATTTAAAGGTGCTATATGTAGCCTAACTTTTCTTCTAAAATGAATCCTTTTTTTATTGCCTGTGTGTGAAGGGGTTGTAATCACTCATTACAATGATCCACTTGTCGGGTTTTGCTATTTCCTCTGAAGGCCAGTATTCCTATTTCTATGTGAGGTCTCCGGGTCGGATTTTCAGCGAAATCCATCGGATGTGACGTGCACGCACGCTCCCGAGCCTCTCTCCTTTTTATATAGTCTATGCAATGGCACTGCAGCTGACGACATGGAGTCTGATAACACCCAAAAAACGACCTGCCTCCAGCACAACACAGACTCCAACACAAACTCCACATAAATATAAAAAACAAAACAAAAATGTATCTGCTGAAGCTCGTCAGGCCAAACGTCAATCGGATCGACTTAGGACGAAAACACGGATCAACATCGGCAGAGCGTTTGAATTATGGAGAGTCCTCCGCTATTTTTATTGTGATAAATTACAAGTTTTCAGATATGCTGAAATAAATAATGGTTAACTGTAATGAAATAGCAAGGTAAACTACAACATACACGAGACATGAAATGAATACAAAAGACTGTTCCAGGATATCAAAAAGTGGGTGCTTTAGGATGTAACTTTTATTTTATGTACTAGATCTACTGTCTAACGTCACTCATCCCACTACTATCATATTGTTTATAATACACATTTCCAGACACATTCAGTACAGTAATGTTACTTCCTACGATCTTACTTTTACACTGAAATTGTTTAGTCTAGTTCACAAACCATTTTCGTTATCATATTATACATTCACCTATATTGACATTGCTGCCTAATTGTGAAAGATACACGAATAGTTAGTGAAATGCCTTATGCTAACACCACATGTCAGCTAAATGCAGTCAATGTAACGTTATCATGGTATGAGCATGGAGCATTAGTTCAACGTCAAGCTGATAAAAGTAGCCTATTATTGTAACGTTGCAGTGGGAGTTTACATGAGTTTCCAGCATGTTGTGTGATGCTTTCTCCGGTGTGTTGAAAGTCTCCGTGTGGCCGGTACCTTGAGTGCTCGCTCTTGTGTTCGAGCACGCTCAAGAGCACGAGCGCTCTTGTAAAAATTGGTTGCAATCTGAAATATCACCGATAGAGGCCGCTAAAAAATACATATAGCACCTTTAATGCTTTCTCTAGTCAATCACATTGATTTGTAGTCCATATACTGAAAGACTTGTTGTTCACTACACAGTCGTCAGACAAGTGTGACAATAAATGGATATGCCTCAATGATATAATTATGAGAGGGAATGGCAAATTGAAACACTTTGATTCCTGATTCACAAATTTCAGATACCTTAAACTAGTTAGAAAGTGTGATTCCAGTTTCCAAGGAGCTGTTTAATGTAAAAC